CGCTAAAAGAAATAATAAGTGAGAGTAAGGGTTGATCCATAGAGACTAAGGAAATTGTTGATGTAGAAGGTTCTTGATTATGCTTTTGGGTGAAAATAAAAGAAATAGGGGGTTTTGTTTAAAAGATTAAAAAGAAAATAAATATTTAATCTAAGAAAATTAAAGGAGGATAAATTGAGATAAAAATTATATGTAAAAATAGCCTCACACTTTCGGTTTGCTTCAATTTCATAGATCATTGAATAAGATTTTTACTTGGGATTCATGTCGGTTATAGTTTACAGGGCCCAACCTCTGTAACTTGTTTTTCTCTCTAGTAAACCGACAATCCAAATTCTATCTTTGAATTTCTGTCCTTTTGTTGACTAACTACGACTATCGTCGTTAGTACCAACTAGTTTAAAGATTTGGAAAAACACTCGACTCGGACCATGTTGTGTTAATGAGAATCGAATCCGATCTCAATTCCTCTTAGCGAACCACTGCTAAGTGTTAACAGGAAGTCACGTGCTACAAGTCGGTTCTTCCTACCAAATTTAAATTGAAACAACAATCAAGATAACGAACTTTTTTTGAAATGAAAGTGTTTTGATTTTAAAAGGAATGTCGATTGCCAATCTTTGATTCCAAGAAATTGAGAATATAACGCGAATGGTATTAGTTGCTTTTCAATTCTCAAGATCTGAATTGAGTCAATGTTTCAGCCTTTGGCTTATTGAAAATTTAACTAAGTATGATAGAAATCATACTTAGCATTTTAAAAGAAAATAAAAGAAAACGAAGTTAAAGAAAAGAGAGATGACTATCCAGCTTAGTTGGTAGAGCACAAGGTTCTTAACCTTGAGGTCATGGGATCGAGTCCCACGGAGGGCATTTCATAATTCGGAGGTCTTCTACGGAAGCTGCTCTCAACCTGGTGTTGGGGGCAACCTACTATCTTACCTCCCCTTACCCCATTACATATGAGAACAATGGACAACCATTTGAAGTTAAAGAAAAGAAAAACTTTATAAAACTAAAGAAAGAAAGAAACAAACAAGCTAATTCGAGATATGAGATACATGTTTTGAAGCTTTTATGGTGTATTTATAGCTTCCTAAAACCCAAAAAAATGTAGCATAAATGAAAAGAGATAATCTTTGGAAATTGTTTGAATTAAATCCTAAAAACAAAGATAATTCCTAATTCGAAATTTGAATTTGTGGTTGAGTCTCCCGTCATCACGAAACTGTTGAATGGACCGGACCTTCTAGAAGTTGCTGAATGGACGCTACGTCAAACGCATCATGCCCCAAGTCATGTCTACTAGTCCAGTCTTGATGATTCTAGACAAATAAAAACTATTGACTTTCGCCTTTCAAGCACTATTTCTGGAATCCAACGTCCTGCACAGAAAATAAGTGAAAAGGCCCAAATCAACAACAAAATCCAATGAACAAGGAGTAATTAACAAAAAAATGTTAACTATTCAATTCAATCATCAAATCCCCCTCACTTATTAAGTGTTTATCCTCAAGCATTTCTCAATTAAAATGTCAAAATATCAAGTACCTTCAAATAATTAGACTTATTTTTAAAATCAAAAATAAAAAATTACCTTGAATTTTGTTTTTTCCAACTCTTTTTTTCTCCTCTGATTCTTCAATTTTCTAAAATATAAATAATTGGATATTTTCAATTAATCTATTCTTAATTTAATCGGTTAATTTGTGACATTTAAATCATGGGCCACATGAGTTACACGAGTTGTCCGCAATTCTCGGAAGTGGATCGTTGCCTGACACCTCGCCACGTGTAATTCCTAAAGTTCAAGTACCATCGTCTTTGGTTTCTTTCATTTCAAAACTCCTTTATTTTACTCCTCGTTTATAGTTAAATTTAATTCAGATTTTAAGTTTGAATAATTGTATTTGTAAGATATGTATATATTTTAAAGATTTTTTAATTCAAACAATTCCATTTATATAGTATATGTACATTCATTATCAAACACATACTAATGTAGGAAGCGGCGTATGATACCATGTACATTTGCTAGTATTTTTCTCTTCTGGATTTACAATTACTAGTAATATTTATTTCAATATTTAAAATGCATTATTTTTACATTTAAAACATGGCACGATAGCAGTGACAGTTGAAAATTCCAGTTAAGCAAGTTCACTATTAAAAGAAAGGGGAGGAGTTTTTGGTCAAGACATGAGACCATGTCCAATGCTACCAAATGTCCAAAAATGGACACCAAAACCAAGAAATTCTCAACGAAAGAAGAATAACCCAAAAATCATTCTCCACTAAACATTGCACTCACAATTTGTATTGCACATCCAGTTCCACTCCCAGTCCCTTTTCCACCATTGATATCCCAATCATGAAACACAAAAACAGAACAAACAAACAAATGTAACACCATTTTCTTATTCTCCCCCAACACCTTTCCGTTGGGTTCATTTTTTTTGGGGGTAACATTCCCCCCTCATTACAGGAGGGATGGAGATAGGAAAGAATCCCATTAAAACATCACATATTGTCCCACCACCGCCATCTTCATCCGTGTCTATTATCCTTGTAATAACGTTCTTATGTTGTCCCACCGCCATTGTTGCCCGTGCCACGGGCACTTTCAGTCCCTCGGACAACATCCTCATCGACTGCGGCACCAACAATGGCCCGAAGCTTCCTGATAGAAGGATGTCCAAGACCGATAAGGATGCCTCTCAGTACTCAACTCTAAGGATGATGTTCAAGTGTCTGCCTCCAATGTCGATCTCTCTTCGCCTTTGTTTTTGACGGCGAAAGTGTTCCCCAAAGAAGCCACCTATAGTTTTGAGCTGAAACGACCCGGTTTCCATTGGCTCCGCCTCTATTTCTATGCTATAAAAGATGGCAAGTATGATCTTCAGCAGTCGACGTTCTCGGTGTCCGCGAATCACTATGCTATCCTTCATAACTTCAAGATTAGCAATGCTTCCATACCTGTTCTCGAGGAGTATCTTCTTAACTTGAATGACCCTAGTTTTGTTCTCAAGTTTTCTCCCATGATGAATTCGTTTGCTTTCGTGAACGGCATCGAGGTCATTTCGGCGCCGGATAGTTTGATCGCGGACGAGGGGACTTCGCTTTTCCCGGTTAACAGGTTCCAAGGGTTGTCCAAGCATGTTTACCAAGTGTTTATAGGTTGAACATGGGGGGACCTTTGATTACCCCACAAAATGACACCTTGGAAGGACTTGGATACCTGATAATGATTTTCTTAAGGATAAAGCCGTTGCTGCAAAAGCCTCTACTTCAACAAGTGCAATCAAATACCCCGAGACGCTAACCCCATGGATTGCACCGGCACTGGTTTATTCATCCCTCATCGAGATGGCGGTGGCCAAGGCAAGCACGATAAAGACGAACTTCAACGTGACATGGGAGATGAAAGTCGATAAAGCGTTTGATTATTTTGCTCAGGTTGCATTTCTGTGACATTTTTAGCAAGGCACTCAATAACCTGTATTTCAATGTGTGTATCAATGGTAAAATGGCTATCTCCAGGTTGGATTTGTTGAGCATAACCGGTGGGCTGGATGTTCCGTACTACAAAGATATAGTTGTGAATGCTTCGACGTTCACTGATGGACTAACTGTTCAGATCGGTCCACTGAACCAGGATACAGGAACCATTAAAAAGATCCTTAATGGCTTGGAGGTGATGAAAATGAGCAACTCGGCCGATAGTTTGGATGGGGAATTTGGTGTCGATGGAACCTCGAGCTCGAGCCACAAGGGTACGGTGGCTGTCATCGGTTTTGCCATGATGTTTGGTGCCTTTGTGGGTCTTGGTGCAATGTTTATTAGATGGAAGAGGCGACCCCAAGATTGGCAAAATTGGAATAGCTTTTCTTCATGGCTACTACCACTCCATGCTGGAGACAGTAGCTTCTTGAGCAAGTCAGCTGCTTCCCAAAAGAGCAACTTCAACTCATCGACACTAGGCCTAGGCCGTTACTTCTCTTTTGCAGAGTTGCAAGAAGCGACCAAGAACTTCGACTCGAGTGCGATAATCGGTGTTGGTGGGTTCGGAAATGTCTATTTAGGTACGATCGACAATGGAACCCAAGTTGTTGTCAAGAGAGGGAACCCCCAATCCGAGCAAGGTATCACGGAGTTTCAGACAGAAATCCAAATGTTGTCAAAGCTAAGGCATAGTGTCACTGATCGGTTATTGCAACGAGAACAGCTAAATGATCTTAGTTTACGAGTACATGTCCCATGGGCCTTTCAGGGATCACTTGTACGGGAAAGATTTGCCGTCATTATCGTGGAAGCAAAGCCTCGAGATCTGCATCGGAGCGGGTCACGGACTTCACAACCTTCACACTGGTACCGCGCAAGGCATCATTCACCGTGACGTTAAGACCACCAACATATTGCTGGACGATGCCTTTGTTGCCAAGGTAGCAAATTTCGGGCTGTCAAAAGACACACCTATGGGGCAGACTCATGTCAGCACTGCAGTGAAAGGCAGCTTCGGGTACTTAGACCCAGAGTATTTCAGGAGACAACAATTAACCGAAAAATCTGACGTCTATTCATTCGGGGTCGTCCTACTCGAAACCTTATGTGCAAGGCCCGCCATTAACCCACAGTTACCTAGAGAACAAGTTAACTTAGCCGAATGGGCAATGCAATGGAGGCGGAAAGGTTTGCTTGAAAAAATCATCGATCCTCATCTTGTTGGTGCCATCAATCCCGAATCGATGAACAAATTCGCCGAGGCTGCCGAGAAATGATTGGCCGAATATGGTGTCGATAGGCCCTCAATGGGGGACGTTTTATGGAACTTGGAACATGCTTTGCAGTTGCAACAATCATTCGAGGGAAAATCAGAGGAGGAAAACAAACTATCGAACACCGCCGCCACTGCCGATACCGATGCCGACTCCAGCCGCAGCTCCTCAACCAAAAACCAATCCATGAACCGGAGGTGATCAAACACTGAATACTCAGGGTCAATGTTAGCACAGTTTCAATCGCTGGATTTTACCGTAACCCCTAACAGCTCCTTGGATTGGTTTTCGGTGTTCAAAGTCTGTCCACTTATGAAATCAACCAAGATTATTTTCGATGATGTTATTATTTTGCTGTAAATTAAAGAATGTTATAAAGTTGCTTTTTTTCATTTTTCATTTTGATTCTTAATACTTCATCTCAATTAATCTAAATTGATCGGTATCGCACACTTAATTTTAAAAAAATTAAAAAAATTAAATTATTTATGACCACAATAGAAAACTAAACTCATAATAAGGACATTTTTCTATAACAAAAAACTAACCACTTGAGATCATACAATGACTATACAAGGAAAATGTTAAAAAAACTTAACTAAATAAACTCGAATAAAAAATAGATACGATACATTTGACTGCATTGACAAACGAATCACAAAAAGATCAAGCTATTAAAAGACCACCGAAAAAAACGCAAATCAGTATCGAGCAACGTGAAAAAACTATCGATGAACGTAAATCGCGTATCCAAATTCAATATGAAGGTCCAAAGCATAGAAGATCAACATGATAACAAATAAGAGACATCTAGATCAATCATGGCGACCTACCAAAACAATGTCCAAATGATCAAAATCTACCAAAAGACACAAAAATATGCCAGAGATAAATTATTAAAAAATAAAAAAGTAAAAATACGATATAATAAAATAAAATAAAAACAGTAATTACTAATGACATGAATTGTTTTAGTATAGAAAAAAATCAATGATTTTCGTTGAAGTCTGAGGATGAGCACGACAAACATTTGAAGGTTGTTTTGTGGACTTTAAAGGAGAAATAATTTTATACAAAATTCAAAAAGTACAAATTTTGATTTAGCGAGCTAATATTTTTGGGACACATTATTTCTTCTATTGATCCGAAGAAGATGGAGATTATTCTGAACTAAAAGCAACCTAAGAATATGACTAAGGTCCATAACTTTTTGGGTTTGTCATGTTATATTGAGGTTTGTAGTGGTTTTATGATTGCAATTTCTTTGACGAAACTATCGAAGAAGAATGTGCCCTTCGTCTAGAGGGAAGCTCAACAGTCGAATTTTGGGTAATTGAAATCAGTTCTGACTCAAGCTCCAATTTTGATCTAATCAGAGTCTGGAAAAGATTATACCGTTTATAGCGATGCATCTCACACCAGTTTAGATTCTGTCTTGATGCAGGATAAGAGAATAGTAACTTGTGCGTTAGAGATTGTTCGTTTTCATGGGGTTCCTTTGTCTATTATTTCTGATCAAGATTTGAGGTTTACGTCGCGGTTCTAGAAAGCTCTTCATGAGGCTCTAGATGGCTGATTGAATTTTAGTACAACTTATCACTTGTAGTTCGATGGTCAGTCTGAGCGGATTATTCAGATTCTGGATGATACGATGAAATGATGCATTATAGATTTCCGGGGCAATTAGGAGGATTACTTGCCATTGGTTGAGTTTTCCTATAATAACAATTATCATACCATTATTTAGATAGCACCGTACGAGACTTTGTATTGTTGTAGGTGTCGTACTCTGTTTTATTAGACTGATTTATCTGAGACGAGGGTCCTATGATAATTAGCCTTTGAGGACATCCATGGAATCTTACGCCAGTAACCATGAATAATGTTAGTCTAACCAGTGAAATTTTTCTCAAGAAGGATCAAGACAACAAAAGTCCGAGGCCTCTGCACCCTTCTCTCAGGAAACTGTACTGAAGAAGTCATCTGGGATTACACTCCAAGGGGAAAACGGTATGTTCTTGTGCACATTTTTATTTTTTGAGCTGTGCTTTCGAGGATTGAAATAGGGATATAAAAGTCACTTGTTCTGCATATTAAAAGGGTATATAGTTCGGGATGGGGCAAATTGAAATGATGCTTACAGACTAATGTTTCTTCATCATTTGTTCTGCATGTTAAAAGGGTCAAACACGATGACACGGGAGAAAATTTCTACTTTAGAAAGTTGTGAATGCACATCAAGGTCTACGAGGCTAAACATTTAAATATATTTTTTTCGGAGGAAGATAACTATATCCACTACCAAGTGATGCAAATGTATGTTATTTTCTAATTCTTACTTTCCTCTTAATTTGTTTGTTAGTTTCATTTCAATATATTTAGCACATGTTATGGTGATTTAACAGTAACTGACATAGCTGCTCATCCAAGACATAGGAAGCAAATGAAACCTCATCAATTAGAGGGCTTTAATTTTCTACTGAACAATTTGGTAACAGAGAACCCTGGAGGCTGCATCCTGGCCCATGCACCTGGATCTGGAAAGACGTTTATGATAATCAGCTTCATGCAAAGTTTCCTAGCCAAATATCCACATGCTAAACCACTAGTTGTTCTTCCAAAAGGTATCTTGGCTACATGGAAAAAGGAATTCCGAACGTGGCAAGTAGAGGATATTCAACTGCTTGATTTTTATTCTGTGAAAGCTGAAAATAGGTCTCAGCAATTGGAGGTGTTGAAGCAGTGGGTTGAGAGCAAGAGTATCCTTTTTCTGGGGTACAAGCAGTTCACTACCATAATTTGTGATGGTGGAACCGGCAAGATTCCTGCTTCTTGCCAGGAGATACTGCTCAAAGCACCTTCAATTCTAATTTTGGATGAAGGCCACACACCAAGGAACGAAAACACTGATGTGTTACAATCACTTGCAAAAGTGCAAACACCTCGAAAAGCTGTACTTTCAGGACTCTATCAAAATCATGTCAAAGAGGTATTCAGCATATTGAACCTAGTTCGACCGAAGTTTCTTAGATCAGACTCTTCGAAATTAGTAATGAGGTGGGTAATGAGCAAGGTGCAAATACCTGGAGGGAGGAGGCAGATCAAAGCTGGAGCAGATGCAGCTTTTTATGATTCGGTGGAGCACACACTGCAGAAGGATGAAAATTTTGAGAGGAAAGTCTCAGTCATACATGATCTACGTGAAATGACCAGCAAAGTTCTTCATTGCTACAAAGAAGGAGCCAAAGCAAAATTATTCCTTAATATGTTAAATTTATGTGAGTCAGCTACTGAGAAGCTCATTGTTTTTAGTCAGTATCTCATCCCCTTACTATTTGTACATATTTTTCCTTTCACCATATTAACAAAAATCACATATCTTTACAAATATGTTGAATCACCAATCAATTTCTTGATATATTAGAACTACTAGTACTATGTTTTTATTGATCACCGTGTTCTGAATCTGTCTGCTTCTGGTGCTTCCGGCTCTTCTCCATAAGAGAATATATGAAGATTAATGCAAGTATAAATCAGCAGTCCAAGTACATATCATTCTACAAAATCATGTAACAGCTGAGAGGAACTGAACCCCTGTTGCCGATTACTGGGGTTTATGCATTCAAAATCCGCTGTTTCGGCTCCAACCGATGTTATAGGATTGTACATTTCATCCCCTCTCATAGCAATGAAATTTTGATGATGGCTTCCACCTGACATGCTTATGCTTCCATCCTCGTAACGCTGCAATCCCAGAGTGAGAGACACACAACTTCCATTTCCAAACCTCCCAAGTCCGAAACATTGTAAGCCGTGGCTGCCATGAATTGGTGACTACCACCATCCAGGTGAACACTTTCATCGGGGATATTAGAGTTGCCCATAGTAAGCCTGTGCTCCTCCCTTAGCTTCTGTAACACATACTCGGTTTCAGCTTTTCCGCATGTGACATTCAGGAAAACAGCTCCCGGAGTTGATCCCGGGATGCCTACATCATGAACATTGTCAGATTTGGAATCCATCAACTGTCCATTGCTACCTCTCTCTATCGCCGATGAAGTCCCACTTTGTTGAAGATCTTCACCTCTGTCCTTAGAGGTCATTGTATCGCCTTTCGTTGCTTTGACTGCATTATCAGACGAATAATTAGAGTTCATTTCTGCATCAGCAAATTCTTCCTTGTACATCTCTTCAACCATAGGCTTCCATAAACGCACCCGAGCATTTATGAACCAATTTGAAACCTAGGCAGATGCAAATGTATCGTTCAGGCTTCAACAATGAAATACATATAGAAACAATGACATCGTTTATCGGATGCATCTAAATGGATTACAACACATATTGATCAACAATGAACGCTATTTACACCGAACAATTTTCTTCGCTTATATGTCAATAAGATGAGTAGTTTTGCAGATTACCTGACTTCTAGTCAAGCCTGTCTGTCTTGCAAGCATGATCTTATCAGAATCCTTTGGGTAGCTGGAGGACAACCGGAATAGCAATAAGTACGACATCGAGAAATCAATAAGGTCGGAAGTGTTGCGTCAAAACTTACGGATGAAGAAAATGTTCAAATAGCCAAGCACGAAGTATTGAAACAGAGCTTTCAGGGAGACCTCTCTGAGGCCTCCAAGCATTTTGCTGCATCATACCAAACTGCTGAAGAGCTCTCTGCTGCCTCAGCTTCTGATCCAGATAAGGTAGACGAGTAATCCTCATTTCTATACTGTTTTCCGAAGTATCCTGTTCCCCGAGACTTGTCCTTGTTGTCTGAATTTGACCATTAATTGCATCTCTCAAGCACCGAAAGTGGCACGATATAGTCTGCAATGCAAGTGTAGTGTACGGCTTAGCGGCTCCACACCCTGCTACTACATCAAATGATGATACCACAATCTGCATCTGATGATAATATTGTTCATATCTTCGATCAACCTAAAGTAACAACCATTCAACACTAAGCACAATCAGAAAAAGAAACGCAATAAATCAGTAAGATATATCAGACAGAACAAAGTAGCACGAAGAAATCAAACAGAAAAGAACAGAGTTCCACTTATAACGAAGCTTCTTTTTGAAATTTTAACGAAAAATATTCAACTAGGACTTTGGCTGCAAGAATTTATCTGAAAAATTTACACGAAAACGTGTTTACCTTGGCAACAAATGGGGAAAAAACTACAATCAACTTATCTGAATGTTACCTCATCCAACATGGACAAGAGCTTTGTTAACTTGCTTTGTAATTCTTGTCTTTCAGCATGTGTGAGCTCTTTTGGAGGGTTCATGGAGGATTCTTGCTGGCTTGCAGACGCATTCTTCGATCCCCCCTCTTCATCGGAACTCTTCGAGTTTTGATTTTTCCCTCCATCAGGCTGTTTTAGAGCCTTTTGAACATTAACGACTTCATCCAGCAGTTGTTGTGCTGCCTTGAGGTACTTGGAATTAGGAATAGTTCTTGCCATAGTTGACACTCCATATAGAGACAATGCCCCTTTATTCGAATCTTGATTACCACCGGAAAAACCAAAACCGGCATTCCGATAAGGGATTTGAATTCCAGAGGGGATTTGGGTACCAAGACTTAAGGATAGTCCTTGACCACTGTGAATGATGCCGGAAGCACCAGCCATTGGTTGCATAGCCAGCATTTCATTTCTACCATCCCTCCAAGCACCAAAACCATGGTCCCCGAGGTTAGACAAGATTCCTTCCGGCTGTGAAGTCGAAGCCGAAGCTTCGACTGCCGGAATCTCGGTGCAATTGTTTTTCAGCTGAGAATTCCCAGCAAATGCATCGGAATAGGACTCGGAACTCATATACACCATCGTATTACCAGGAAGAACCGATCCCTCTAGATAAGAACCGGGCATCGATTCTCTTATATAGATCATCGGAGCCGTATCTCTTTGATTATCGGAACCAGTGTAATAAGTAGCCATATTTCTCTGTCTTCAAACTCTCCTTGCTCTGGTTCAAGTCGAATTACATAGTCACGAAATGAACTGGAAACAAGCAATCGAAACAGACATCCATCATGAACAATCTTGAGCATATTCAGAAAAATAAAGGAAAAAAACTGCAAAGACCAACCAAAAAACTTTCTTATGTTTGATCATCTTGTCCATACACAAAAGGGAAAGACCTAAGAAAAAAAATCATAAATACATATGAACAGAAGAAGAAAAATACCTGGAAACCAGTAACAGTTTGTTTGAGGTATGGGGAACAAAGAACTCTCAAGGACACCACTGGATCCGATGAACAAAAACTCCCTAAGAAACCAAACACTTTGTGATCCCAAGAACAATCCAACACTTCAAAAAATAAGAAGAATTCTTTGATGTTTGTAGCTCCAAATAAAAGATAATAGTAATAATTCAGAGCAATGAATGAATTCTGTCACTTTTATTTTTTCTTTGTTGTTTGCTCCTTGTTTTTTTTACCTATCATATATTATCCAATCCATCATTTCCATTCAACCCCACGTGAGAGATTCACACAAACTTGAACTTTGAACCTTATGGCCCTAATACCATGATAGCTTTTCTTTTTTCTCTATGTAAGACTGTAAATATTTCTATATTTTTGGAGATAAAAAAAAGACTTTTTTAACTTTCAGAGGCTCTCGCTTGAAACCCAGAAACTGTAATATTTCAAATTCTTACAGTTTCTTCTTCTCCAGCTTCATCTTCTTCTTTGTTTGGGTGGTTGTTGAAAAATATGTTTGGTTAAGGAGTTCTATCCATTAACAAACAGTTGGTGGACCTAAACATAAAACCCTTTTCTTTAAACCCTCCTAACCTTCTCTCTCAATTTCAATCCCCCCTGATGTCTCTCTCAACTTCAGCATGGGAACCTCTGTTTTCTTTTTTTCTTTAGCTGCTGCATATATATCCTATATCCACCATGAAAACCTATTCTATTCTCTCCTCTTCATCCTCTAATATTTACTTTTTGGCTTAATTCTAAAATAAGTGATTAAACTAAAAACGGATTAAATTATTGAGAATTTAAAAATTTTAAGAGGTAAAATTATAGCTTAAAAATAATATTATTATTTTTAGAGGACTTGAGTTCGAGCAACTGTATCTACAAGATGTATATATTGTCAATGATTAAGAAAAATTCTGAACATATACTACCTTATAATCACCACATATAATTAACAAAAATACATATCTTCATGATAAATTTTATTTTTGATAAAAATAAAAAGAAAATATTACTTGAAATTGAATTCAAAATTTAACATCTGACTTTGAGCAAAAGGTGTTCAAATTAACATGTAAATTGTTAACTGTAATCGTTAATTGATATAACTATTACATTTTGTAGGTTAGTAACTGAACCATAAAGACTAAGTGATTTTGATTAAATGAATCGTTAAAAGTGTCAGTTAATGGTTACAATTACAGATACGAATTTTCGTGAATGGATAATCGTCGATTAACTGTTAATAAATTATAATTAATTATATTTTTTTAGAGAGAATAAAATTAGAAATAAAATCAAAATGGTTCATCCTTATATTTTTAGTTATCGTATTTATCTTATATTAAACACACAAATCAAACATGAATTGAAGATATATTGATTTATACTGCAAAATATAAATATGCATGTAAAATTTTAAACTACGAAAAAACAAATATATCTCGTAATATATATTTTCCTAAAAATAAAATGCATCTATAAATAAAAAAAGATTTTTATAAATATAAATGTTTACGTGGTTGTAAATTTTATGAATTTTTGAAAGTTACATATTCTTTTGTGTTTGGAAAAAATATAATAGGTTAACATGTGGTTAACATATAATCGAACCGTTAATAATAATTAATCATTTTTTAATAGTTAAATTATGATTAACATAATTTAATAATATTTATAAATATTAATAGATCATTTAAGATAAACAATAAGATTAAAAAACATATAAAACATATAAAAAATTGACATTACAAAACATATAAAAATTTCAATTGGTTGGAGCAAGTTTATAGAAGAAAAAAAACCTGACGGATCCAAAAATAGGCCCGTAAATATATGAATAAAAACGTCGTATTTCGGCCTTAAATCGTACAGAGCCACAATCCAAGAAACCAAATCTAGAATTCATTTCCGACCCGATTCGACCCGAATTAAATTGTAAACCCCACACGCTTGTTTTAAGTAGAACTTTTCAAAAACAATTTAAAAAATATTTTATGACATCACTTTTAAAAACACTTTTCAAATGCAGTATTTAAGTGAATTTAAAGCTGTTTGAACGTACTACTGTAAATTCAATAAAAGCAATGCTTTAGAAATTTTCTTCTAAAGTAGCAGTTCAATGAATTTCTTAATTGTTGACAATAAGATTCAAATAACCGGACTTTGTTAATCGTGTACATTTAATATAAATACTTTAATATTATTTAAAGTTATAAAAGTTCATATAAGCCGTTTGTTCCCTTTTCTCTCTATCTAAAATTTTTAGCCGCTCGTTCTCTTTTCTTCTTTGGTTATAGGTGTCAGGTGATGGTACCAATTTTAATATGAGAAAATAATTTCAATCACCAAAAATACCTTATAATATACGATTTTAATTAATTTTTTTTGGATTTATCAAAATGACCAACTAAATTGTAATGTGATCGATAATTCGTAACGCGATCTCCGGTATCGCAAATCAGTTTCTAGATTCGCAACACGAACTTCGACTATCGCATTGCGATTTATTCCAAATTCATTGCGATAGTCCAAAATCGCAACGACGGTATTGCATTTGTTTCTTAAGAATTTTTTCTAAAAAGATAGTATTCGCGCAGACGTGTCGAAGACACGTATTACCACGACCACGACCACGACCACGACCACGACCACGACCACGACCACGACCCGACCGACCGACCCGACCCGAGACGGGCGGCGGCGGCGGCGGTGCGCGAGAGTCCCCCTTGTTCTCTATCACTCACAAGGAAGTGGGAAAGTCAAGCCTTAAATACCATTCCCAATAGTGTTTCCAATACTATGTGGGATTGAGCATTACCAACACTTGTTCCCAATACTATGTGAGATTGAGCCTTAAATAGTGATATTATTTTTGAATGTTTTGCTTAAAATTGCAATAATCGCGATTGATTGTAGATTGACTTTTAATTATGACATATTTAATCGTATAATACTAATGCAATTGGTTGCTGATTCAGTTGTTTTAAGGTGCATGATTGTTAATTGTTTCCTGAATAATCACATTGTATTGGAAACAAGTGTTGGTAATGCTCAATCCCACATAGTATTGGAAACACTATTGGGAATGGTATTTAAGGCTTGGCTTTCCCACTTCCTTGTTGAGTGATAGAGAACAAGGGGACTCTCGCGCACCGCCGCCGCCGTCCGTCTCGTCTCGGGTCGGGTCGGCGGTCGGGTCGGGTCGTGGTCGTGGGTCGTGGTCGTGGTCGTGGGCGTGGTCGTGGTCGTGGTCGGGTCGTGGTCGTGGTCGTGGTCGTGGTCGTGGTCGTGGTCTGGTCGTGGTCGTGGTCGTGGTCGTGGTCGTGGTAATACGTGTCTTAGACACGTCCGCGTGAATACTATCTTTTTAGAGAAAATTCTTAAGAAACAAATGCAATACCACCAGTCGTTGCGAACTTGGACTATCGCTAGTCCAAGTTCGCGTTGCGATAGTCGAAGTTCGCGTTGTGAATCTGGAAACTGATTTGCGATACCGGAGATCGCGTTGCGAATTATCGATAACGGTTCTTGAATCGCATCAATATGATGTCAGAAACTCAAGATACACTTGTTTTAGTGAAGATAATGCATACATAAATTCTTATACGGTATTACAAATTTTTAATAATTTATTGATTATTTGTAATATAATTTAATATGAGATGATGTATTATATTTTAGGATTAGATTTATTATTTTTATTAGAAATTAAGGTCGAGTTAAAACATTATTCTTAGTTTATTATTATTAGGAATTAGAATTAAAACATATTTAGTTTATTACTATTTTATTCATTAGTTTCTTAGGACTGATAGAACTCATCTCCTATATAAAGGAGGTTTCATTCATCATTGTAAATCGAATTTCTTTGAACTAAAACTACAACAAGAGTTTTTTTTTTTTTGAAAGTCTTGATTGTCATGTGCCTTCGAAGCTTTTTTTCATTAAGTTCTTTCCAAGTTTTGTGTGTGAGAGATCTTCACACTCCAGTTTGTCTCTTCACTGTGATTAGGAGGGTTGGTTAGAGTCATTTATCGAGTTTACCTTCCGTTGCGACTATGAGGGGTCGATAGGACAATTATCCATCTATCTCCATATTTCACAACTCCATCTTCTTCTTCCATTCAAATCCTTCCGCTTCCATAACGAGCAACATTCATTTATCTACTACCACATATCTATTACTTTATAGCATGTTTTTCTCCGTCTTTTGATATATTTTCGGTTGTTTGGTCGTTGTTTTCGTTTATCTTTTTTCTTTGGGTTGGATTTGACATCAACGCAATTGAACAAAATGACACTTATTTGTTATCATGATGATCTTCCATACTTTGAATTCTCGGATTGATTTGGATACACTATTCATATTTGTGGAAAATTTTCTCACGTTGCTTGACTCCAATTTATGATAGTTATACTTGTAAACTTTAATTATAATTTTGGATATTTTATATTTTTAATAAAATTAATGATTTTCTTAAAAAAAATCCTTTTTTAAAGAATGAATAATTTTTCAGTTTTTTTCACATTGAGTTAATTGCTTCCCCACATAATTACAATATATATGCAATGAATTAATCTTTTGTTGTTGTTTATTCCACAAATTATAAAACAATATTTTATTTATTCCCTAATTTCTTAGGAGTAATACATTTTCACTATTTTTGTTTTAGTAAACCAAAATGGTGGGTTTGCTTAAATGAGTAAAACTTTAAGTCTCATAATTCATAAAATTACTTGCCTTTTACAACTCTACCTAGCATGTATTTATATATAGGGTGAACTACACTGATGACCATTTACTTATTGTCAGATTTTATTTTGACTATTGACGTTTCAATTTATTCAATCATTCCATCC